GGGGGGGGGGGGGGGGGGGAATCGTTATCGGAGCGGGCGTTGTTGGTTACAATTGTAGATGTAGATACTTTTCACGATCGGATCAGATCCCGAAAATTACGTAGAAGTACACACCAGTACAGTACAGCAGTGGCGGCTACAGCAGAACGCCGACAAGAGACAATCGATATTAACAGCAAAATACGGCCAAGAGAACTCCTGGTTTGAGCTAAAGCCGGGCGTGAGAGAACTATTTCGGCACGTCCAACCCTCTCTCTTGTGTCGTAGCCGCCACTGGTGCATACACCGCGTGCGTTGCGTACACGAGGCAGCATCGAGCAGCGGACGGAAGTGCTCAAATGGAGTCGTCAGTCCGTTTCAATCGGACGACGCTTCAGCGTCTGCTCAACTTGGATTCGGGGCGATCAGCACATGTCGTGGTGGTGCACATGGCGAAACAAAAAACGCGAGGCAAAGAGCCGACGCCACGCGTGAGCACGAAAAGATTCCCCCCCTTGTTAATGTGATGGCCTGGTCCACGTTGTGTTAAAACGGTCAAGCACCCTCGAGGCAGTTACNAGCTGTCATCCGTACGCAAGGAAGTAAGCACAAGATGCCGAACACCCTTAGCAGGATGCAGCGCACCCTTCATGCGACTCGCCGAATACCTCACGGCGCTTCGCGCTCGGTGACGTGAGAGCCCGGTCCGGTGAGGACCCGGTACACTCCGTCCCGGCTTTGTAGGGATGCGAGGTCAATGGTCTAACGACACGGCATGCACGACTATGAGTACACCGCACCCCCCCCGCCTCTGACCTTGATCATCCTGAAGGTCTTGTGGGCGGCGGGAGCATGCAGCTCCTCGTTCTGCGTCACGTACACCACAGCGGCGGAGGGGATGCTGCGGTCGCACTCCGCGCCCGCTATCCCAAGCATGCTCAGCAGCGTGTCCACCCTCCACCTCCCCGAAGGAGAGTGGTCCTCCAGCACCTTCGATCGCCATGTAAGAAGGTAAGAATGTAAAGAACGACCATCGGGATGTGTGTGTGTGTGTGTGTGTGTGTGTGTGTTTATTACGAGCATCGACCGCGCTGACCGGCTGAAACATAAAACACTTGTAAATGCCATTGACTGGGACCCCGTGAGGGGGCGGCATGGGAGAAACTAACCGCTTCTCCGGATCAAAGACAGATACGGTAGCGACATAAAAAACTGCACACGTCTACAAAGGCTGCTACCTTCCACTCGATTCCGTTTTGGAATGCGTTCACCGTCGTCGCCCTTCTTCCTTCCAACTCTATTGTTCTCATGGTCGATTTCACAGCAACTTCTCGACATTCTGCCTCTGGCCCTGCGTCGTTTGTGGTGGGGAAGGTCATCTGGCTCGAAGCTCTTGCTCTCTTCCACGCCATTATTCCCTCCTCGACTGCTGCTTTGGTCTCTGTCTTGCCCTCCTATTGTTCCCTCTCCTCCTCCTTCATCGCCGCCGAACGAACGCCTCTCACTGTCATCCTGGTCGTTTCTATCTGCAGTGCTACCGAGATCCCAACTTATTGACCGTGGTGGGAACTGATCAAGAATGTTTCATATTAGCATCGACCGCGCCAACCGGCTGACCAATGGGCATGCGTGTGTGTGTCGGGCACGAGGGAACGGCGGTTGTCCCCGCGTCGCAAGATAGGGCCGGCGGGAGTAGAGCGAAACGCGGAACAAACATGGCGCCAGAATACATACGGCATCCGTCCTGTTGGTAGGAAGAACGCAAGCGACGGGCAGCGCCAGATTGAGCGTCGCGGGACGCAAGCTAGCATCCGGCATCTTGGTCGGTCGTTGGCGTGTCGTCCAATAGGGCGGGGGGAGCGAAACGCCAAGAAAACATGGCGGCAGAATACACACGGCATCCGTCCTACTGAACGAGGTCAGAGGCCGCCCTCGCGGTGCGCACGCACGCACGCATGTTCGCAGCACAGCAGCACCAGCAGCACCAGCGCCTCATCTACACAATCCCCAAGAAACAAAAGCCCTACATTAAAAACAAACGAACAACACGGGCCCACGATACGACCCACCCCCCCGCCAACCTTCCGGCGGGAGGTACCTTTTCCCCTCACACCCCGCCCGCCCCCCTTAGCAGGATGCTCCATGCGGTTCGCCGAATACCTCACGGCGCTTCGTGCATGGTCATGTCCTAATTTAGCCTGGTTCGGATAAACCCCGGCATATCGCTCCGCCCCGGCTTTGTGGGGATGCGAGGTCGATGGCCTAACGACTACTGTACGACACATGCTCAGCTGCGAGCAAACACACCCCACCTGCAAAATTCTGCTGCACGTATCCCGCTTCTGATCCGAAGGCGCGACGACGAGGTAATTCAGGAGCTCGGCCACCAAGGCTCTGGCGTTCTTCCGGCTGACCAGCTGAAAGATGAGGTCAAGGGCCCTCACCCGGATAGACGGATCGGGATCCTGCGCAGAAAGAAGAATTGACGGCAAGCAGGCACCGGCAGACGGATTGGGAACAAGCAGACGCCGACCGACAAATCGGAGATTGAGAACAAGCAGACACAGACCAACGAATCCGGGGTCGGGAACAAACAGACCGGCCGAGGAGAGGACTTGGGGAGGGGGCCGAGTGATACGACGAGCCCACCAAAAGATCGCCGGGTCAACGGTGGAAAAGGGGGAGGGGGTGAAGGGCAGGGGGGCGACGCGAAATGGTTGGAAACAAGGATTGGCACATCGGGGTATAGGCCAATCAGAAAATCAAACAAAGAGCCGAGGAGATAGGAACCGATGAATTTTACGGGAGCACGTCCACAAAACAAATATGACTTTTCTCGCGTGTCGAGGCGATTAGACAGCACCGTGGGGCCCAACAGACTGATCGGACGAAAACGCGCCGAATACACGACGGAAAAATCGAAGTGACGTCGATAGAAAAGCCCCCTTGGGTGGGATCAACGACCAGCCTCTTGTCCCTGTAAATGTCAGACAAAATCGCCCAAAGGGATCGCTGAGCGGCGACCCAAAACGTTCCCACACATGCGTCGATATTTATTTTGGCATGTTACCATGGTTACCGCTGTCGACACACCTTTAGGCATTCCACGATTGTCCCTCGATGCCTCTGGACGCTGGCCAAGTCCTGCGAGACCACCTTGCCAAGGGTTCTCAGCGCCACGTAGCGCATGTTATTGTCACGATGCAAGAGAAACCTGATGAGAAAAAGAAACAAGCACCAGGCAGTACCAGCAGCAGCGTGCGGCACGAGGGAGACCAATAAATCTATCACGACAAAGTTACTAAAATACGCAGATTGGCCGGTTGACAAAGGGAAACACGGACATACTCGTCGTCGCCGCCGCCGTAGCAAACAAGTAAAGTAACGCGAAACGGTACACCACCTACTAAAGATGGTTGCCAAACGAACAAATCCAAGCGAGAACCCAAAACAATGCATGCTAGTATGGTACGATACATCACCCCAGAACGAAAACCGTAGAGAAAAAACGAAAAAACTGAGCCACCTGTGCATGGAGCAGTACGGAAAACAAACAGAGCAGTGTGTAGCGACAACGACAGCACAAAAAGCAGCGCTGGAAAAAAACACCACCCCACAGCGCGTCGTGCGATGAGGTGAGAGGGAACAAAAAAAAAACACCGAACCCGCCCTACTTGACAGAAGCAAGCCGACTACAGTACTACTCGCCTGCCGAGAATGTTGACGGCCATGGACCGCAGGCTGCTCTCGCTCTCCAGCTTCATGATGGTTCGGACGCACTCGTAGAGGATGGCGTTCCCAGAGTTCTTAGCCGTTTCCGTCGTTGTCGCCACCTTTTTTGTTTTATTTGTTGTTTTTATCGCGCGAAACGGCACGGGAAACCCGAGTAAATAGAAAACACGACACGCACATAACCTTAATATCCAAGACAAGAATCACAGGGTAGCGGGCCTCTGCGGGAGGAACCCTCCGGTTTGACCACAGACTGGAGCTCCTACAGCAGTGTACCAGGCAGAAATGTTGTGCGTGAGCGCTGATTTAAAGCGATAAAGAACCAAAAACATAGCAGAAGTGGAAAACGAGAAGGGCGATAGAACCAGCAACAGCACGCAACGCGGGGACCCACAAGAAGGACACAGGCAGCTAACAGTGCAGAAGTCGGTAGACACGCGAATAATTCTCCGCCAAAGCCACGAACAGAAAGCACGGGTGGGCATGGTTCGTTTACCGCTTCCGCGCGCAAACAACGAAAGGGGGCAACGAACAAGCCAGTCTACCCGCCCCACAGAATCGGGCGGCAAAACATGAAACTACCACGTACCTGAGAGAGGACGCTGTTGACCTCTTCCGAGGCGTCCTGGCTGTACTGTCCCAGCAACCGGAGCAGCCGCAACACTTGCACCTACAGATCGTCAAGAACGCCACGCGAAATTAGGAGCCTTCTTTCGCAAGTTGTTGTCTTTGTTGGCCTCTAACATTGAAAGCTTCAGTGTGTCCGTGACCCCCACCACATACCACATTTCGTACAGATCGAACCCAAAGAGATAAGCTCCAAGCAGCGTGTTCGCGGGGTTCCCATATTTTTCGTACCGAGGGCCGCAGAGCTTCAATTTGTTCCCCAAATTCTACGGCACGTCCCAAACGACAAGAAAGGTAAAAAAGAAGAAAAATAACCTGAATGAAGCCTTGACTAACACTCAGAACGATCTTGCGCAGAACAATGACTGAAGGTCAGGGATTCCACAAGGCCGAGACTCAAGGCGGGAGCGTCAGACGCTGCAGGGGGGCGGGGGAGGGGGGGCTCCTGCGTGCGTTGACCAGCGTGGAGGGAGGAGTCTTTGTGTGATGCTCGTAGGTTGGCATCAAGTTGTTTTTGAAAGTTTGAGAAAAAAACAAGAACAGCAACAACACAACAATCCCCTGTCAGGTGCATCAGTCTTCATGCATACGACTGCTTACTCATTCCGCCGGCCGAAATTTCACAGCAAAAAGCACGCCAGAAAAATTCGAGACTATGCGGGAATTCGCGTGACGACGCCAACAACAATGGCGTCAATCAAAAGCCCGACAACTAGTGGCGGGCAGAGACTTGTGGTGTGGCGATTCCAACATCAAATACGGCGTGACACATCTACCGCACCCACCTGAAGGAAAGGGTCCGTGACGCCGGCCACGTCGTACTCCGATGAGAACCCGGTGCTGAGCAGGTTCCTCATGAGCCTTACCAGGGAAGGCACCACCTTCACCACCGCCTCCGCGTGAGCCTCGTCTATCTCCAGGATGGCGATCAGCAACTGGAGCCAGCACAAGCGTAGTTGGGTGTTACATCCGACGTTAGTACATGCACGGGGAGAGGAGGGGTATTTAGGAGGAGGAGGGGGACAGGACCAGAAAGCGGTAGGGGGGCCGGGCAGGGGTGTGTGTGGGGCAGCAGAAGGCAATCTACAATCGAACGGGAATATTCAGCGATCAGCAAACGCCAATACATGAAAAGAAAGCCATTGTCCTGGACGCTCAATCGAAATGAACAGTACCCCCCCCCCCCCCCCCCCCCCCCCCCCCCCCCC